TTTTCTTCATATACCACACATGTTGCCACTACTTTTCATTCAACCCTCGTAGATATTTACAGACGACTATCATGAAGGACTCTGGCCAATTATATGCCACTATATTCATAATTATCCGATTTATAGCGATTTGACTGATGTCAAGTTGGAGAATCATGCAGGAATCGGTCACGTTTTCCCCCTGCATGCCTCCTCCCTCGCATAATACCCAAAGCTGCTTTCGCGCATCATGTGGCAGAATGACCCACAATTCAGATGATACTTGAATCGTCTTTCTAGACTTACACGTTATCGAATGATGGGACTTTATCCACGTTGAAGTTTGTTTTTCCCGCCTAAAACAGCATGAGCAGACGATAGGATTCATGCACATTCTCTCTCCTTATTCCCCTTTCACCCCCTCCCCTCCCCTCAGACTCCCGTGCCATGACGTGTCCGGCACTCGCTCTCTCGCCCCTGTCTCGCCGTCTGGACGTGTGACTGGGACAGGGACATGCTTCCCTTTTTCCGTTCTACCTTTCCGCTCTTCAAAATCCCATCCCCATGTAGTGTATTGACAGTGAATGCAGTCTTATTTTCGCTGGTTGTATTCACGCTTGCTGTATATGGAACTTTCATATATCAAGTTTTGCACATGAAAAACTGAGTCAACCACAAAGGAAACGTGTCCTTCCTATGAGATTGATTTAGTAATGCAAAGACTTTCTCTTCAACTGAATTACGAGCTTTGTCTTGGGAGATCATACTGCGTGAGTGCAGCTATATGGAATCTCTGATCATTCCCGCTGCTAACATGACAGAGAGAAGTAACGAGTATTTTTCTTCCGGCCACCGTTTTTCTGGCGACTTTTGAAAGTGTAGTTTCTACGTTGGAATGAGTAATTGATCGAGGTTCCATCGTTGTTTCGCTGGGAAAGAACATGTTCATTCCGAAGTGTACGTCCCGCGGAGCTGAAAATCCATATTCGGGCACTTGACGCGTTTCCCGGGTAAATTTCTCGCGACGTCCTTGAATGTTTAAAACATTGGGAGAAAGAGCAAATGTGAGGCTCTTCCTTGTGCCTGTGCAGTGGCGTAGCAAACGCCCAAGCAGCCCCTGCAGTTGCCGGGGAGCTCGGACCCAGTGGGGTCCCAAAATTCCCATCAAACATGTGAAATTTTCTCTAAAGTAAGCAAATATATGCCAAAAGAAAAAATATTATTGCAAAAAGAAGTAAATTGTCATCGCCCACGGGACAATGGGAGGGGGAACAAGGGGGGAGGGCCGGAACAATGGGGGGGGGGGGGGGGCCTGGCTGACTCCAGCCAGGGCCCCCCCCTTGCAATACCGTCAGATTATCAACTCATCATAGGCGAGTTTTGACTTGTTTACTTATCTTTGGAGAAGGCAACTCTCCCATCATTAGGCCATAGCATTGCGAGTAAATGTGATGCAAGATCTGCACCCTGGCTGGGGCCGTACAAGTACAGAGTAGCTGTCTTTTAAAAGTGTCCCAAAGTTGTGATGGTCCAGCCTATGGCCTAGAATGACATCGCCTTGTGGACCTAACGCGTGATGCTACATAGCTATGCCATTCTAGGCCATGGGATCGGCCATCATAACTTTTGCACACTTTTAAATGACACACACTGTATGAACATACATAAAAGTGTCGTAACCGGGAAAAAAGGGTAACTTGCTGTTAACTTAGGTGGTGAGCACTATTATTCAGTAGTTGATCTCATCTCATCAAAAGTTATATAGACCGTAAATTACAGAACTTTTGAGTTATTCCTTCTCTTGTGATTATTTGTAATGAGTAGCAAGACTAGTGACGCTGCTAAGAGGAAAAAACGACGGCAAGCTACAAAAATGAAGAATGTTGATCTTTTATTTTGCTGGAGGAGCTTCAAGCTCTGACAATGCTGCTATTTTCGAAACCGATCCCGAAGAACCGCAAGGTGAAGCCACTGAGAATAGTCTCCTGGGAAAAGAGGATGCTACTGACGATCCTGGTTGTCGCCTTAGAAGATTATTGCATCGTTTCACGAACGGGACAGACGCCCCTGAACTGGAAATCGTCGTGGCTTTAGCAGATGTATGCGAGCCAGCGCCAGGCTGCCCGGGTCCTGCAACTGCATTTCAAGGCTCTTTCGATGCTCTTTCGCGCGAGAGACACCCAACCTACAGAGGAAACTTTCCAACAGATTTAGTCACCTCCAGATGAAGAGATTTGTTCTGGAGTAAGGACCATGCCGACCGAAGGGGCCCTACCCAAGGGATAAAATTCAAGACCTCTCGTTCTCAGAATCATATCACAGTACCACAGCGAAATCGGGGTTGTCCATCCCAGTAACCTGGCTGTCTTGTTCCCGAAAACTGGACGGCGCTGACTGTGAATCAGCAAACAGCCTGTTGGCTGTTTGCTGACAAAAAGGACTCAAAATACCATTCAGCCTGGTCTACGGGCATACGTGACTGGCGTGGACTTTCGCGAAAAATGAAGGACCATGCTAAATCAGCTGCGCACCTCTCAACTTGCATGACCTATTTCCAATGGAAGCAGAATGGCACAATTGACGAAGCAGCCGAACGTCAAGTACAGCGCCAAAAATCCTTCTGGAAACAAGTGTTCGAGCGCCTAATTAAAATTTCGATAAAATTACTTCGGCTACGAATGCCCAAGCGTTTCGTGGCAATCGAGAAAAAATCAGTGAAGCATACAACGGGAATTTCCTCTCTCGGGTGGAGCTCTTGGCTAAGTTAGATCCTGTGATGAAGGAGGTCCTTCACAAACCAAGTGGGAAAATTATTTATCTGAGTCCTTAAATCCAAAGCGAGTTCATGGAGCTTCTTGCAAATAATTTGGAAACAGAGCTACTGCATGATATGAAAAGTGCGCCATTTTTCTCTATCATTATGGATATGATACATTTCAAAAAAGGACCAACCGAGCCATATCTACCGATTTGTCATGCTTCGATATCAGATTTTATTCCATTAATACAGTGAGTAGCAAACCTGTCATGAGGAAATTAGTTTTCTTTTTGAGGGGGGCCCCAGAGTTAGGTTTTGCGGGGGGCCCAAAATTTCTTGCTACGCCACTGTGCCTGTGATATTTGTTATTATCCTTTCGGCTGATATCACTTGAGTCTCCCTGAATGCAATTAGAATTCAATTATGTTTTTTTTTGCAGCGTTCGTCTGGAAAAAAAGGGAGAAATACCTACTATAATAAACTGATTACCGTCTGGATTCGTTTTTTTTCTCCTGATCTTGTTTCATGTAGGTGATAATCAACAGTGAATTTTTGCATATGGTTCTTCTCCGTCATCATCCGATGAATTAGGTCGCAATACGAAGTAGAAATCATCGTGTTCAATCTAAAGTCTTCATACTATTCGGGGTCAGCGTGGGGACAAAGAAGATCAGAAGAGATACCGGTGCTTCTATCACTCTGAAATTCATGTCTTATGTACAGTACAAAGGCACAAGCAAGAAGTGGGTTCTCTGCTGAAGATGGGTAATTGTAGATAACGCAGAGAAGTTCCTCCTTTATCGTTGATGGATGCATCTTTCTAAAGCCATTTGAGCTTCGCTCAGCAGCCCCGAAACTTCTTTAGCGTAAATTCAACAAATTGGCTCAAAGTCTGCTTCGAGAAAGTTTTGTTTATTGATACGAATACCTCTGACAGACATCTCTATCGTGTATTTCTATTTTCATCAACAAGATCTCCGTTCCTCCAACTCAAGCAATGAGCTAATGTAAAGGAAGACTTCATGCAAATTACCAACAAAATATTTTTTTTTTCTCCACGTAACCTTCAAATCAACGAAGAAATTTCGATAGGAAATAGTTGCCTTAGATAAATTTTCCTAATTATTTATTTATTTAAGTCTCACATGGACCTTTGGGACGTGGACACGGTGAACTACAACGAATAAAAACGAAGATTCGAATAGAAACGAAGCACATCTGGGTTCGTTACTGATTATGGAGTTTTAATTCCCTGCAACAGTTTCAGCTCTACACCTGGGGAACATCCATCCCTCAGGCGAGAAGAGCTTCCAAGCGCTGAAGGCAATGAACGGATTCTCATTAGAAGGCCTTCACAACCTAAACGGTGTTAGGTCCGCTGGAGAGGTTCATTGCAGTTTTCCACATATTTAGCAGGAAGGCGTAGCCCTTTTGAAATTGAATTGAAATGAAACATTTTGAAATTGAAATCGTAAGTAAACGGTGATTTGCCATTGAATAACCGGTTTTGGACAACCATTCAACAGAAGTTCAGCTGTGGTCCCCATTGAATTATCGTTGACGTTTTCGTGAAGTAAGGTTGGGTAGTTTTACGTCCGATACCATTTTACCTACGCAAGCATCTGTTCCTCTGGCTCATGGAACAGCTGGCAGAGCAATCAATGAGGTTTCTGTGTCCGATTACTTGCTTCTCAGTGCTTCAGAAATTTTTCTGGAAAGAAATAGTCTAGGCCCTACATTGAACTGCGTTTGCATTGAGAAATATAAGGAAAATATTTTAATTTTCGCTCGCGAGAATGGAAAATAAATCCTCTTACGGAAACGGGAATAAATATTGGCAGAAATATTTCCGTCTGAAATATTATACATTGAATTATTATTCAAGCGAAAGCTCTAATAATTCGTTTTCGAATTGTTTAATTTAAAAAATATGAAGCTACATTTATTTCTTTGGGAACGGAGGCCTGCTAGATTGGGATCTGATCACAGATGAGTATAGCGCACGGTAGCTCAACAGGGTGGCAGTTACATCAATGAATGCCGAGTGAATCCCGAATTGTTGCAACTGCAAGGAAAATGTGTTAGGTGAAGGTTTTATAAAGAGTAGCAGATCCATTGAAATTCTGAAGGAATCTTAAGAACGAAAACAAATGTGTAACTGAAGTACCTAGTAGAAAGTAACAATTTGAAATTGTTTGATTTATGATTAAGTCCGACATAAATTAGACAAAGACTAAACTATTAAAAATATGTATATGAAACAATGCGGTAAGTGGGATTTTATTGGCGGTCTCACGCTACTCACATAGGTACCCGCTGCGCACGTTTCCGAATGTCAGTGGCCTTTTATCCATGCTGCGTGTGGGTTATTCCACGTCAAATCAACGCACTACAAAACATGACGACCTAAAATTTTAATGAAATTTGGACCAAAGCTTCGTACCATTGAGAAAGTGGGAATTCCAAAATACCCGTACTTTTCTCTTCAGTCACTTAGATCCAAAGATAAGAAGCTCTAAAGATAATGTCTCCTTTGTTACATTTTAGCACCTCTGTCCTTAAATACGCTTCTCTTCTTTTCAAGGGAGAGAGATGCTTCATGGCTCTTCAGAAAGGTATCTTTCTGCTCTTTCTGATAGCATTATATTTGTTAGTAATGTCTCAATAAATAACACGGAGCGATGAAATTGAAACTCAAACTTATGCATTAGAAAAAAATACCGCCTCTATGATTTCAACTAAGTTTGGCTTACAAATTTGCCTCTTTAGGTAGAGCAAGTCTGCTGAGAATCATTTTGGCATATCAAGATCTTTTTCAAATATTGACAATTTTGTCACTGAAAAGTTAAAATTTTTCCATTGTCAGATAATATCTTACATTGAGACATTCCACGCCAAATCAACACGCTACAAAACATAACTCCAGTTTTAATTAAATTTAAACCAATTCTCTGTAGCACTGAGAAAGGGAGATATCCGACATAGTTTCGTCACCAGTCAATTAGATCGTAAGATAAGGGATAATGAATTATTTCTTTCTTTTTTGTCTTCACTTGGCGCCCCCTGTTCCTCAATATGGTAATAACTTCTCTTATAGTCAAGCGAGAGAGATGTTTTATAGCTCGTTGTGAAGGTCTTTTCCTGCTCTTTCGGATATCATACTCTTAGGTGTAATATAAAACAGCAACACGTAGTCATAAAGTAGATGCATTGAATTTTGAACTCATTTTGCAAAAATGCTACATCAGGGATTTCAGTTAAATTTGGCTGACATGTATCGCTAAAGACGTAGAACACGTGGGCTAAAAATCATATTGGGATATTCAGAACTTTTTCGAACGAATGATTCCGTTAATCCTAGACTAAATTAGACTGACTCTTGCATCGACATGACATATTTTTTTCACTTTTACGTGAAAAATAGCCAACATCCTAAAAAGTTCTGAATATCCCAATATGATTTTTAGCAGTGTAGCAGGAAAGACATTCCTGCTACACTGAGCCAGTTCCTTTCATCAGGGGAAAGGCATGAGGCATATTTAATCGGCAATGGGAAGTGGTACTGGAAACAGTTCGCTTGAGAGAATGAACTATCAGGAGAAATGATCAGTAGGTTCAGCTAAATTATCATTCAATGGCTACAGTTTTTTAAGAAAACGGACTGAAGAAATTATCGTCAGGGCCAGCAGAGAGATTCATAATATTTTTTTGCAGAATAAGCCTTTCGGCGCTATCGGCGTGGGTTGCCGGCACCCTGAAAAATTGGAGCATCTACAGTGATTTTTTATTCATGGGATCATTATAAATATTTATAATCTTGGAACAAATAGTGTTAGATCCATTAAATGTTCTCATCAAGAATCCATGAACATGGGAAAGTTATACTCTGAAAAAAAAGTTCAATGTGTTCTCCTATGCGCGCAATCAACGGTCGTAGTAGTGTGGTGAAATTTTGCACAACTGCCTGCAGAGTATCCCGAGAAATTGAGTAAACTTCACGTTCTGTGGCCACCTTCAAGTCTCCAAACGTGCATAGATTTAACCTTGAGTCGAAGACTTCGTCCTTTAGGTATTGCCAGAGGAAATAGCGACATGGATTGAGATTAGAGGGAAATGGTGGCCATACTAATACACCGCTGTGGATATCAGTAAATCTGCTAGACAGCATTCTGGTACCGAAGTTCTCGTGCAGGAAGTCGAACACAACGTTCGCTGTGTTGGCAGGCCATGATCTAAATCCATGTGACTATTTTCTCTGGGGATGTCTAAAGGGCAAAGTTTTCGAGTCAAGGTTAAATCCATGCACGTTTAGAGACCTGAAGGCAGCCACAGAACGCGAAGTTATTCCATTTCCTTGGAGACCCAGCAGGCAGTCGTGGAGAATTACACCACACCCCTACGACATGTAACAGCGCGCTGAGGAGGACACAATGAACATGTTTTTTCATAGAGTATAGCTTTCCCATGTTTATGGATTCTTGATGCGAAATTTCAGGAATCTATCTCTATTTATTCTATGATCATAAATATCTATAATGGTCCCGTGAAAAAAAAATCACCCTGTACGTGAAGCAGAGCTTCATCAGTTTTACAGCAGTTCTTTCCTCAAGTCGAAGAAAACGCCATCATGTTCTTCATTTCCGGATCTAACCGTAAAACGTGCGGAGCCGTTCTGGGGCCCTCCGCTAGGCTGCATAATCTGCTGTGATATATCAATGTCTCGCTGTTGGAATTCATGAGGCTGCCAATCAAATTAACGAGAGGTTTCCGGAGTGATCGAAAGTCGTTTCTGTAATGAAGAAGCGTCAAAATGAGCCTTTGGTATTGGAAGATAAATCGGTGGTGCTGGCCTGTACACTTCTGAACATTTGAAGTGGATCGCTGTCAATTTCTTCGATTGCGATCAAGGTAGTAAAGTATTGTGCATATTGGGTGCATGCCCTCTCGAACTACTGTACTTTGTATCCGATCGTTTTGAGGCCCATTTTATTGTAAGAGAATGATTCAGGCTGCGTGAAATATAAAAACGCAGAGGTATTTTTAAAATTGTCTGCGCATTGTTGTTTCAATTTTATTTCAAAGAAATCGTTGTTTTCCGTTCTTGCCGTTCAGCCCAGGTGGATGAAGGTGGACGTTTTGTAAGGGGAAGGACAACTTGTCGCCGTTGATAAAATGTCCAGATTTATTTCCTCTGCTTTCCAAAGAATATTCGAATTCATCTTGCAAGATTTTTCCTGATATGTAGGAAGAGGAATTCCGCACACGTCTCCCGAAACAATACTAAATTAAAGAAGGAAAGGTTACATCCTACTAATTTCTATCTTGAACGTACTGATTCAAGACTGCTCTCAGTGCAGTCAGACTGCAGTATCTCTCTGCTTATTCATACCGTCTCTTAATGCAACCAACAACACCTTGATGAGAACGAAATAGGCCTTCCTATGCAACGACGAAATTCGTACTCGTCTGTTTCTACCACGATTTAAATTCGAACAGCTGTCGCTTCTAGTGATACCTGAATCAGTCGACAACGATGACCTTCCAGAAAATATTGTTGAGACTGTCATTCGGCACAACTCTTCTCTGGAGAGGAGTAAAGTAGGTCAATTTAATATATTTGCAACCTAGGATTTACTTCATTCTCACTTCCGTGAGTGCGGAGAAAGTGCTTCTTTCCTGTTTTTCCCCCCTCTAGGCTGGATTCTTGCATTGATGGTGATGGCCATTGATTGTAAAAATCTATTCAGTAGCAGTAGTAGATCGTCAATGGAGGCAGGGTAAGTCCTGGCCACCCTGCTCCATTGACGAGCTACTGCTGCTGCATAATACGAGCCGTCACTGGCTCTAAATAGAGAATTAAATACCTAATTCAGATATAAAGCATGTGTCGCTTAACCATAACATAGTTCTGCCTCTTAGGAGGGCTAAGGTTTTGTGGCACCCTGCATATGAAGTTGCGAGATATTATCTGTAAGGAGGTTCAGCACGATCCTGCACCAAGTCCTTCATTGTTTTATTGTTATCATGGAGCAGGAACGTTGTTTTTTTTTCTATTTCCTGTGTAGGAGCATTCCTCATTCCTTACTTTGCCATGCTGTTCATGGCGGGTCTCCCGATTTTCTACCTGGAATTGGCCATCGGGCAATATGTGGGCATAGGACCAACGTCAGGTTTTAAGCGAATTGCTCCAATCTTCCACGGTAATCATCAGAAGAATTTATACACGTAAGGCCGGAAGCGCTGAATGGTGCTGAGCGAAATGTTGCATTTTTTTAGGGCTTGGATATGGGATGTTGATGGTTTCCTTCCTGGTGATGTTGTACTACAATATGATCATCGCATATGCCATCTTCTACATGGGCGCGTCGTTCTCTTCGGAGCTTGGTTGGGCCCGCTGCGGACATCCCTGGAACACACCAAGTCTCTCCTCTCTCTCATTCTCTCATCCTTTCTCTCACATCGAATATAAAGGAATAGCGACTATAACGTAAACAAAATTGTGGAAGTAAAAACTGTAGCAAGAATGAAGTGAGGAGTGCACTAAGTAAAGCAATGCATTAGATAAACTGTGTTTCACTGCTTTATGCGTTCGATAGATACACGAGGATCTGAGAAGCACGAGATAGTGTACTGGATGATCTCGTCAACCCTTGCAATGCTCTCCATCGTAACAACGACATTCGCCTATCTTGGCCACGGATCTTCCTGTACATTATCTCTTGCTTTGCGATGCACGAGTCGAGCACAGTCGCCAAGATGTGCAGTTTTCAAACACAACAGATATTCTTCGATTAATCGTATTGAATTGGTGCCTTCTGTGTTCAGATTTTTCACTATTGTGAGTTACTTCTCGCGGAAAGCTCCATCGATCGTAAATGCCTTTTCTTTTATAAGTACGACTGCGCTCAGTGAAGTGCTCAGACAGCTCAACCAATCACAGTTCAGCAGAGCAGACATTCTGAGTGGTGATATTGCACGTTGTGGATATCAAAACTGCAGTTTCTACGCCATCCGATGTGGCTTAGTGCCGTTTCCATTTGATATACCCTTGTAATTTACTATTTCAGGCAATGAAGATGTCCTTTAGTCTTACGAAGGGACAGGGGCGGATCCAGGGGAGGGGGTACCATTCCTATGGCCAGGTTACCATTCTATTTTCCCCTTTTTTTAAAATAGCTTTTATATTAATTTTTATTGGGGCCAGTGAAATAGATATTCAAGTTTTTACCCCAGACGAGAAATGAAAAAGGTGATAGAGCTGGGAGTGGTGGAAGGCCGGGGAGGGGGGGGAGTCAGTAGGAAGTAGGAAACCGCCCCCCCTATGAAAAATTTCTGTATCCGCCTCTGCGAAGGGATTCCTCGCATAGACATCAACAATAATATATTTTGCCCAATATGACCCATTCTTAGCCATTAAAGCGTGACAAAGGGTTTGAAACATTCTAAACAACTGTTTCTTACAAGAACTTCAGGGCATGTGAAGAACAACCCTGGGAAACAGTATTGGGCCACGTTTTTTGACAACCTTATTCCTAGAACGTAATCATTTCTGCGATTAAATTAGCAAAAACATGATTGTGATGCGAGAAAGGCCAATTTCATAGTTTCGCTGCTTAACAATTTATTAATAGAAAACTGTGCAGAATATAAGCTTAATCCATTACAGACTATATAATTTCGATAGAATCAAAAAGGTAAAGTGGGAAAACAATAGGGTTAAGAACATTTCAGGGTTATCACTGATCCTTTCAAAACCCAGCCTTGAACAAGCTCGTGCAGAGGGACAGAACATTTGAAAAAAAAAACCCAAATAGTTTCAGTGTATGCAATTCCGATGATGGAATGGTTTCCTCCAATATTCTAGTTGCTAATCTTTTTTCAATTATAATTGGCAAAGGAAGAGGTAATTGAGTGGAAAGGTTGATGATATATGTGTACAATCATTGGCGCCTATCATTTGCCATCTTTTGGGCATTGGTTGCATAAAGAACATTGTTCCGCATTCAATATTACTCTCCATAAATACATTTTCCTGAATTCGTCCTATGTTGACCAGACTGTTTCTCATTGGCGGATGCGGAGGACTGCCTAAAGAAGGGGAACGGAACAATGGTGTTATGGAACAACACGTGCACCTTGACTTCTAAAGCGTGCGCAGCCACCAAGAACTTGTGCGCAGATCAGAACTTTCTGAACTGCCTCCGTCACCACATGTCTAGCCATAACAACACACACTGTTTCAACATCAGCGCCATGAATGCTCAGCCACAAGAGCCGCAGTACCAGCATGTCCGCATCCGAGATGCCTTCGAACGCATCTCCTCCTCAGAGGAGTACTGGACGTAAGCCTTATTTTCCTTTCCTACTCTTGCAGTATTTAAGAATACGATAATACTTCTGCACTTAATTGAGAAATTGTCATTCAATGCAGTAGTAATCACATCTACCTGTGGATATACATCATAACTTCTTTGGACTTCAGTATGAACAACCTCCAAGTACCCTTATGCTACTGCTTTGCATGAATGTGGAAATGAGCTTTGTGGTAATATGAACTCTGCTATGATCCAAACCTATGCATGAAACAGAGTACTTGTAAATATGACAACTGGATATTGCACAAAAACAGTCTGCTTGCACTTTGTACTTAATGAATGTGTATGCGAATAATGAATATGTCCAGGTAAGTGTTCATTGAATGCATGAAATCAATCAATAATGAACATATTCAAACGAGTTTTCATCGTAGAAGATTTTTCTTGAGATCTAAGCTCTAGGTCAGGGGTGCACAACTCAAAAGGCTGCGAGGGCCATTTGCGATTTTTACTCACCTCCCGTGGGTTGCAGTCCACCTGACCATAGCTGTGGCCAACAGGGCAGGATCCAGAGTAGCACTTACAACGCCACCAGTCATGGCGGACCGCAGGAAATGGCCTCGCGGGCCGTATGTTGTACACCCCTGTTCTCGGTCTTCTATTTCTGCTCTACAGCCTCGGCAATGTTTCTCTTTAAATTTTAAAGTTGACTGGAATTAGTTCATCAGAAATTGTGCTTTTAGATCTTTGTGTAGTGTTTTTGCTCCACCCTTTTCGCAGGAATCATGTGTTGGGGATGAGTTCAGGTTGGGAAGAGTATGGGGGAATCCGTTGGCAATTGGTTCTTTGTCTTTTTGTTGCGTGGGTCATTGTGGCCGTGTGCTTGATCAAGGGTGTCCAGAGCTCCGGGAAGGTGGTATACTTCACCGCTCTATTCCCTTACCTCGTCCTCCTCATCTTCCTCATCTATGGTATGTTAGTTACTCCGTTTATGTATCTCACTACAGTATTTAACTCTCAACTAGTGCAAGTCTCCTTGCTGATGTTATATCTCATTCTACGTTATAAGCTCCTTTTCAGGAGCTCATTGGTCTAATCGTAAATCTGGATACCTGAAGGATAATTAAAATGACTTTGCAAAGGACTTCCAAGAAATACTTGATTTGATCAAATTTTGGGCGCAGAAAGGATTCCTCTGGAGCTACGTAGGTGATTGTTACCACTCTGAAGCCTGGAGAAATGCATTGCACCCCAGTCAAAAAATTTTCCTCGGGTCATCAATGGTTTTTCGTTGACGTGTACATAAGCCTTAGTTGAAGTATCACTGGCATATGATTGGCTAACGGTTGGTTTAAGCCGGCTTATCGTTGGGAAACCGTACGTATGTATGGGTATTTATCCTCTTGCATCAGGCCTTACACATAATAAGACTTTTCAATGTCTTTAAGTTGCTTATCGTGACAACGTCACACTCTACGTAGTTTATCGTGGAAAGTAGAAGGATCCTCCCACGGACCTCCAGGCCGGAATTTCCTGGTTTATTGCATGGCTAGGTTACGTCTTCAGGGAGCATTTTCAAGGAATTCAATTGCTTTCCTTTGAGATCTATGTGAGAAACCCTAGGGAACTGTGTCAAAGGGACAGGGGACCCATTTCAGTAGAATCCAGGAAGTGACTCCCTACTACGACCACTTTGACTCCATCTCACGCCGGTTTTCAGAACCTTCTCAGCTACATTGGCTCATCTTCGGCGAATGATTGGCCGGCCAATCATTCCCCAAACTTCCCCAACTTTGGCCCGATGATGAACCAACAAAATTATTTTGAATTGGGAATCGCTTTCTCATTTACGCACTATTCATGTCATCTCAGACACCGCGCACATCCCCTCGACGTGTTCTATGATCTCGTGGATGCTGTGAATATATAACCTCGACCTCTTCAGCGTAATATCTTGACCAGATTTTTCCGAGTATAGAGTGGAATAAGGAGGGTCAACGAGATCAACTTTCAGAAGATATTTATTGGATATTGAAAGAGAGTTGTGCTACTCTCTGGGGGAAGGGGGCCTTCCTTCCAAAAGTTTTCCCGACCCAATACAAGGTTCTTTCTCTTGCTAGTCCAGATGTGAATGCGTAATCCGATTCAATAGATATGAATGAATGGTGGAGGTGCCACAGGAATGGTGCCACAGGAGCACCTGTGGCACCAGTTTTCCTCGGTTCTTGCTTGGCAGTGTAGAGAAAAGAAGAGATGGGTACGCGAACACGTATCAGATGAACAAACTCAGAATGTGACTAGGTGGAACATGTCTATGTAGTGAATTGTGGCTTGAGACTAAAGAAGCGCCGAAAGCATCAGTAATTTGATCTATACGTGTATTTGGAGTGCATTGGTGTGCTGTGGAACCACAACTTTTTGCAACCACATTTTAATAATAACAATTCTTGATATTAATGAGTGCTGTGGTTTGTGTGCAGGAGCAACTTTACCAGGAGCGAAAGATGGAGTATTATTTTATTTGACGCCTCAATGGGAGCAACTAACGTCAGTGGGCGTGTGGTACAAGGCAGCGACTCAAATCTTCTACTCGCTTGGGCCTGCTTTTGGCGGGCTCCTCACTCTGGCCTCTTACAACCGATTTAACAACAACTGCCAAAGGTTGCCTTCTACCGAAGCTTCATTTACCTTTCCATGCTGTTTTTCATATTTTCGCGAGGCTAATGTCATAAGTTAACACCGCAACCGTACTGGGTCGATACGGCAACTCGGTCAGATGATGTGGTCGACTCCCTGATTTAGACTCCGTTAAGCAAAGCAAAACCTATTGATTGTTCCGTGCGGGAACGAATCCCCTCCCATTCGGTAGCAACTCGACCACCGATCTTTTTTTCACTTTCAGGATAAAAGAATATCGATGCTATCGAGGCTCAGATACTAAGAAGAGCGGATTGTTTCTTATCATTACAGAGATGGAATCACAGTGGCATTGAGCAATTGCATGACCTCCTTCTTTGCCGGCTTTGTCATCTATTCTATCGTGGGATTTATGGCCCACGAACTGGATGTGGAGGTTAAGAATGTGATTCGAGATGGAACGGGACTCGCATTTGTGGCTTATCCAGATGCCGTGGCACGAATGCCTATTCCTCAACTCTGGGCTTTCCTCTTCTTCCTCATGCTCATCACTCTTGGTTTAGACAGCCAGGTACGTCCTCCATAGTGAGCGTTGTCAAGCATTTCTTAATAATGGGAGTTGCGTTTTTTTTTTTATATAAATTCTTTGGGCCAAAAAACATTAGGTAGGGAAAGAGGGAGTGCGGTAAAGTCTAATCCCTTCCTCTCCTCTTCACCTCCTCCCATCAGACGTGTGAGGCTCCGAGGCACATGAGGTATGCCGAGATTTGGTTGATTTGGTAGATAAGTGATTCTTCGTTGGGCTGCCAATCGATTAAAATTGTAAAAGAGCCAATTTTAAGCCACGATTAACCGATTTTAAATCGAGCACCACCTTCACCCCTGTATGGTATGTTACATATTAAAGACAATATACAACAGGGTGTCCCAGAAACCCCGCCCCAAGTTTTGTACCTAGGTACATAATTATGTCTTTATTTTTTTTTCTGATGGAAATGAGTTTTGTATCATTCGAAAGCCTAGACCTTTCTTAACAACTGCTGTTAAACCTGATGGTTTGTGATTTCTGATTGTGGGGATTTTTGAATAAGAAGGTGTATGCTACAAAACCCCAAACATCCCTGACCTCATCAGCGCAATTTCCACCAAACCGAATCCCATAAGCCTGGACATGTGCCAGAAAGCAGTGAATGACTTTCCCCGGTGATACCGTATGTGTCATGATCAGAATGGGAACCAATTTCAGTGACAAAAAGATCGAATCCCTGCTTTTAATCCCTGCATCCCAGAAACCTCGCCCCCAATTTGGACGGAGACTAAGACTAAGTGAATGGCGCTGATGAGGTCAAGGATGTTAGGGGTTTTGTAGCATACACCTTCTCTTTAAAAAAAACCCCACAACCAGTAATCACAAACCACCAGGTTTAGCAGCAGTTGTCAAGATAGGTCTAGGCTTTCGAATGATACAAAACTCATTTCCATCAGGAAAAAATAAAGACATAATTATGTAAAAAACTTGGGGCGGGGTTTCTGGGACACCCTGCATATTAAGTAGTGTGGAAACCATTTTTCAATAGCTTTTCACCTTTCTTCAACCCCCCCCCCCCTATCTCTCTCTCTCCCTCTACAGGACTTACTAACGTTGGGCCTCGGCTTAACCCACGGACTGCCTTCAAGTCAGGCCTAGGCCCACCGATTTTCGTTAAAAAGAATATCAATCCTCGACTTTCGCGGTCTATTAGGCCTATAAGGGTTAATCACGATGCTTTTGAGACTTCTCGCTGAGGAAATGTAACGTTAGGCCCAGTGGCGTGCCCAATGATACATTTTACAGGTTCGATTCTCAAAAAAAATTTTTATTTGGCCATAAATGCAGGGCGGGTTACCGATTTTTCATGTCACCCTCCCCCATTGAGATTTTCTGGGCACACTACTGGTTAGGCCATCTGGAGTTTCTCGACGAGGTCTTAGAAGAGAATGGCTCTGAGAATGAAATGCATGTTGGACGGAATCATTACTCATGATATCCAAGAACGGTATTTCCAATCGTACAGCATCGACCGGTCATCGCTAACCACTGCTTCGGTCTCACCTCATCCCATGAACTCAGCTGAAATATGTATCATACATTAAAAATAGAAGATCCTGACACCGATACGAAAGCAGAAGCAGTCATGAATCCCACATAACTTCAGCATGATATCCGTCAACCGTGAGGGACGGGACTGGAGCCAGCACGCCAAACCTAAATGAATGACTGCTAATTTCATTTTTATGGCAATATGGTGCATCGCACAAAGAACAAAAAGGGCCTTTTTGTATAAGCTATAAGTCACAATCTATCTTTTGGCTGGTCTCTTTCCTCGAAAGCCCCTCAGGTGGGGGAGAGGGAAACAGGAATGAAATTCACATATTCAAAAACGAGATTCAGTGTTCTCCGCAACTCCGGGGAGATGGAGCTTCAAATTTACTGTAACCATTCTTTGTTGAGAGAGTAAGAAGCATGTCCAATTTCGTTTCCCTAGAATCTAGATGCTCTCAGAGAGGAATACGAGGTGGTTGAATTTCGTGACAGGAAGGGGTTGAAGAAAAAGAATAGGCGCTACGCTATTGATTAAGTTCATTTTGAGATTGCATTGATGTCCCATACAGCCAGCCTCAATATGTGGAAGTCATCGGATTAGCCTGAGCGAAAGGATCTTTAGCTTTAAACGTGACGAGAACAAGGGTGTAGGGAGAATGGTTGTTTTCCTTCGGTATTCAAGCAGCCTCAAGCGTGAAAGAGGGAAAAAATGAAAAGTTCTTACACGGTGCCCTTTTTTGAGGGAAGGAGCAGGAACTCACCCTCGATTTGCTCTTTCTTTCTATTATATTCTTACTTCCTTTTGCCTTTCTTTCCTTTCGTCCTTTGATAGGGACTCATCCTGACTACTTATCATAATCCGGTAACTCCATTGTCAACAGTTTCCCCATCCCTCCTCGTCGATTTCACCGTATATGTAGCTTGGCAAATCTATCATGTTTGATGACCACAGTTTTCTCATGATTTCATCCTCTAATATTTAAAAAATGTCATTAGTGTAGCTGCCCACCAACACGGATAGGAGCAGAGCGGATTTTCTCCCGTTGGAATTATGCCACTGCTTTAAAGAGAATTGCGCTCACTGGAGCTGATCTGACCCATGTGAACTCGACAGGATTCTTCCTCACGGTTGAGGCATTTTATTATCAACATGGATGTGAAAGCCATCGTCCAGAAAGAAGCAGACCTGTATGACTAGGCATAAAGTTCTGTAGATGGGAATCCGCTCCGCTTGAGTGTAGGGAAAATTCCGCGCCGAATTTGAGACGACGCTCGTTGTGCATTGTGTAGCAACTTGAATCATTACTGTAGTCTTGGCGTACCGTTTTCTATGAAGAAATACCGGGTGGTAAAAAAAATAGCGTCCAGTTTGACAGTTTATAAAACCCACTGTGGTTAGATTCGTGATGTTTTCATATCACATTGGAAACACCACAACATTTGTTTTCTGAAAGTTTCATGTACCTAGGTTGTTCGAAATCGACAGTCGTTCAAAGTGGAGTCATACAATGTACCTTTTTCGCACTTGAGGAGGATGGAGTTTCAGCGCGGCCTGAATGATTTCTCTCACTTGCCACCATAAAGACTGCTTTTTACGCCATGTCCTCGTCGTAGTATTGTACACGTCGTAGAATAATACTACTGTCGTACATCGTAGCATCAGAATCGATACCACGCAGAATACGACGATGAGAACTGGCAAAAATAGCGGAATTTGTTACTTCAAGGAAGAGAATCATTCGAGAAGTGCTTAAACTCCATTCACCTCATGTGCGGAAATGGTACATTTTATGACTCCACTTTGAACAACTGTAGATTTTTATTCAGACAATCTAAGTCCGTGAAACTTTCAGAAGACAAATTTTGTGGTGTTTCCTATGTGATAAAACGTCATGCACCTAGATCATCCACAACGGATTTTATAAGGCGTCCAACAGGACGCTTTTATTTTGGTTCACCCAGTACACGGAAAGAGAGCTGGGTGACTCGAGAGCTTAGTTGTCCATGTGAAGCAAAATGTCCCAAGATTATCATAATTATGGGACCTCCCTCTCATTTGACGGAACCTTCAGGCGGGCGATTCTATGAAGATCACAGGCGAACTTTTGGCTTAGCATCAATAGGGAATCAGCAGCTTTTTGTCAGGGCTATGAGAATTCTACTCTCATTGGTCGTATATCACCAGTACGAAATATAGCTTTTTGCAGGAGCTGCAATAAAGAAGGAATATCGATGTCGTCTGGATGTTGAAAAAGTCCGTTGTGTCGATATCTCCACTCGATACATCAGGCTCAGATTTGCTATAATAAGCACCCAGAAACAGGCTCATCATTCGCACAAAATTTGAGAATTCATCATCCGATTGGTAGCTGCGGCCCAGAACTTGAACTGCTGCGATCCTTTTCCTGTTATTATTTGTACTCATTGTATAACAAAAATATTTCATGGAGGCAGGCCTCATTAAAACAGGGTTGTAGGCTTGTGTCCAGGTACTCTTCTCTGAAGGAAAGGTGGGTGCGTGCTAACAATGTTTTAGAAACGCTACGCTCCTTAGGATGTTATGACAGGTGTAGGGCTCATGGTGCCTGCAACCCCAACCATTTTAAGTCGCTCGGCAATAGCATGTCTCTCATTTTAGAGAAACCACCTACTCTTCTGCGTTTCACTGTCTTGGTCATTCTAACGGTGACATCAAGGAGGTTCCTTACTGACAGGTTGAAGGTTAGGATAGGTATGCCAAGAGGCGCCTTCGCTCATTATGACGTCCCATGTGAAGGTCGAGCAGATCCTGAAATATACAGTAGAGAGTCTTTGTAAGTATGGAAGTACTATTTGCATGAAAGGGAGAAACTTGGGAGAGAGAGATGGACTTCGTCGGGAGAGGACAGCCACGACACTGATAAATTCGATGCCTCAGTAAAAAAAAAAGCCAAAAAAACAATAGAAGCTTGGCAGAACAGGAGCCCTTCTTTGAGTATGCCATCATATGTGATAAAAACGAAATGTGTACATTTTATGAAGACTGAAAGGAAAGGAAACGTGAGCGCAAGTGTGTGGGGAGTGGAGGTATATGGGAGGACAAGGCACGATGATTAAGCAGTGATTAAGCGATATAATTTATACGAAGTATGTGCCATGAAGTGGAAAAGCCTGCGAACATTCAAGGACGCCATAGTAGTATAAAAAGGGTAGGATCGACCGGTGGCGCAAGCCTGGCGCTGCCTGGCGCTGCCTGGCGCAATTTCCTATTCATTAAATCATCTCATTTCATATGAATTAACCTCAGGTTATCATCGATTTACACGAGTACTCAGTGAATTAACGTTGAATTATCGAGTGCGCAATGATTTGCATTTTCCATGTACCTTCATGAAGCGATTTTTCGATTTGAAAAATATTATGGCATGAATCTCGTGGCATAAAATCCCATTTCAATTGACTCTCGTCATTACGGCTTCACATCAAGGTAATCGATAGGGTCGGATGGAACCTAGCTAATGCGGTTGCACAAACCTGTGTAATAGAGGATACTCATTACTAACTGGTGGTTTCTTCTGTCACGCTCTTCTGCTTTTACAGCCTCGGCCCCTGACGGTCAAGGATTCTGTGTCGCATGGGGAACTCTCTCCAACTCCCCTTCCATCACGTCTCTCAGATACGTGGATGAGGGGAGCAACCAAATAAGACTAGAAAATATGCGTTGATGGAAAAGGAAACTTTATTACAATTCACTCATTGCCAATCTCTACCTCAATAGACACGATATACGAAGAACAAGGGAAAGTATTGAAATATATTGATAATGATGATTGCGATGTGAATGGAAGCAATCCAAACGTGAGTTTTTGAGAGCGGAAGAACTTTTGAAGGGATATGAAGTCATGTAGTCGGAACAGGAGTAGGGGTCTGGGAAAATTGGTTCTCTTCAGCCTCTATCGTTTCAGTGAAGAGAATGAGAAGAATATACAGCGAGGAACATATCAAAATATTATTTCAGTGAAATAGTTAACTAATATGGATGGAAAGAATGCGTGTGTCTCTGATGAAAAATGCATACAGGGATTTTTAAAAATTGTATGAGGTATGGAATGGTATTACCAGACAACATTATATTTAGCTCGGACTTCCTCCGTCTTGATACATTTTTCGATGTCCGCGTCGTCTGCATGCCATCTCACGGACGAACGTAGGCTCCCGAGTTTCCCTTCAATGGTCTTCTTCCGGAGTCGATTATCTCCTTTGAGTCTGAGTACGATAGTATGTGGAGATGTCACCTCCAATTTCACATGCGCCAGAAATGATAACAGCACCATCGAATCATCTATCTCCTCTGCAGAGTGCACCCTGAATACGTACATGATCCTAGTAAAGAACAGAAGTATGAATAAATGATCCAAGATAAAAAGCTGTCAAGGGAGAAAGCTTGAATGATGCTGGCCATGAGTGTCTCCATGTGAAAGACAGGATGTGTTAAAGACAGGATGTGTTAAACACATCTCTGGTTACATTTGTAACGAATTTGTATTTTTTTTAAGTGAATATCAATGGTAGATTATTCTGATTTTTATTCATGAAGGAACAGTGGAATGATGGGGGAATTTATTTAATTTTTTAAAACTTTTTCTTCCTCCCTCTTCCTCTGCAACATCCCAATCTTCATAACTGTAAATGAAAGGTATATTAATTATTTCAAATGTGAAATGGAATGTGAGAAGAGATTTGTGATGAGCTTACTAATTTGCTTGCATTTCTTCTGCAGTCTTCACAGCAGACAAAAGTATTTCTTCAGTTCCACCATCACCTACCCAGGTAAAAATTTTACATGGGATATTCCTTAACCATGCAACTACCATCTCTCTCCTGAGCCCCACTCTGCCCTTCCTCCTCTGTCACCTCCCAATCTTCACCGTAACTGTAAACGAAAGATATATTGATTATTTTAAGTGTAAAATGGAATGTGGGAAGAGATTCGCGATGAGCTTACTAATTGACTTCTATTTCTCATCAAATCTTCAAGACAGATAAAAGGATTTCGTGCGTTCTGTCTGCACCTGCCCAGGTGAAAATTGTGCGTGGCATTTTCCTTAACCATGCAGCGACCATCTCTCTCCCCAGGCCCATCGTGCCCCCGGAGGTGCGCAGAAAGGAGGCATCCTCTCTGTGAGGTTTTTTCACTTCCATCACATCCCCATGCAATCTTCAACCCATTGCGCAAATGTATTGCGATCTAATGTATTTCCAAATATCAAAATGTAGGCGAGGGAAAGCATTACCTATGGAAAGAGAGAATGTAAAAGTTGGGATTAGAAAGAGCTGCGATTAGGAAGGAGTTGACGTCAAGTTAACGCAGAACGAAGTAATGAGGATCTGCCAGTGTGAGACTCGCAACGAAGTGATATGTCTTTCGTTTTTCCAATATGCATATCTGGACAGGAATGGGGGAAATGGAAAGAAAACATTGATCCCCATTACCTTGTCCATTTGTCTCATGATGTTCATGCCATTCAAGGTTTTGACACCACCCATAGCGAGATCCATACAACCGAAGAAAGATGATGAGCTCATCCATTCCGTTTCAAAGACACTTTCACCTCGTGTACTAGCAGATGAAACTCTATAGTTGCTATTTGTACGTTTTTCTTTATTCCTATATGTAAAAAAAAGAGAAGCTGTCACCTTAAGCTCCTCTTCCCTCTTCCATCGTCACCTCCCAATCCTCACCGTAACTGTAAACAAACGGTATGATAATTATTCCAATTGTAAGAAGGTATGATGGAAGGGATTCGTTGTGAACTTACTAATTAGCTTCTATTGCCTCAGAAGTTTTCACGGCAAAAGAAAGCATTTTCACCTGCCCACGTGAAAATTCTGCATGGCATTTTTCTTAACCATGCAGCGACCATCTCTCTCCCCAGACCCATCGTGCCCACGGAGGTGCGCAGAAAGGAGGCATCCTCTCTGTGAGGTTTTTCCACTTTCTTCACATCCCCTATGCAATCTTTTACTCAGTGTGGAAATGTATTTCGATCTGATGGATTTTGAAATATTAAAATGTAGGTGAGGAGAAGCATGATCTGTGGAAATAAAGTCAAAGGGATGGAATTCGTTATGAGCTTACTGTGAAGTAATAACGGACCAACTTGTTTACTATTAGACTAAATTTCTCAATTTAAGTTCTTTCATCCTTGCCCTGTCACGGATTGAATATGTAAGACCATACAAAAGTTTTGCAAATATGGAAGTCTCGTATTCTTCAAAAAAAGAAATAAACACTTTCATAGAATAACAATTTAATTACTCATTCAAAAAAAGAATTATGCACTGTATTTATTAATGAATCCAACACAAGAATCCTATTAGTCATAGAATACGTCCGTAATCTTTTTTAGAGGATAACACTAAGCAACATCTAAAGAAAAATTGGATGGGAGAATGATTCTACGAGGCAAACTCAAAATCTGAATTTAAATTAATGTCCTTTATATTACCTCTTTTCCCTCTTTTTCTGCTCCACAATTCCTCTCAAAAGAAAGTAAACAGGGCTAACCTGACAAATTGCGGTTGTCCTGGAGCCAGCTCCGGATCGGATGAGGCGACAGCGTGCCTTTCAAATGACGACTGACTCCGGCATTCGAGGTGACTTCCGATATCCGCGGTGTTTCAGGGAGGAGCCAAGGTAGCTTCCTGGAAATCCAGGATTCGGATTGGATGAGGGACTCGAGGACGACTCATGAGCCCATTTTGTAATTTGGAGGTCGGCCCTGATTGCTCTGTTTGTGGTTTTCAAAAGCTTGTGACTTCCTTAATGTCTTTTTAAAATGATTTTGGTTTCCTGTGTTTACCTTAGTCGGATTCCAGGTGTGACGTAACAAGTGATCTATATTAATTGGTCACCTGCCCCGTTCCATATTCGAGGGTCAAGGCAGGTCTGCCAGACGGAATTTCTGGAAAAATGGAAATTCTCGTGGTTCTTCAAGGTAAAATACGTAACTTTATTAAAATAGAGACAATAATGAAATATGAAAAAACAACAGTAATCCACAGTACTTGTTATTGGATGGGAGAAGGATCCCACTGGGGAAAATTCTACTGGAACGTGAAGGTTATTTAAATTAATGTTCTCTCTATCTCTTACACGGGCCACACTACCTCACGCAACCAAGGGACAAGGCTAACCTTTATCGCTGGTAGGTTGTCCTGGAGTCAGCTCCAGATTTGGTAAGGTCACAATGGTGCCTTCCAGATAGCGACTGACTCCAGGATCCACGTTTCTTGCCAATATCCTCGGTAGCTCTGGGAGGAGCCAGGGTACTTTCATCAAAATCCGGATTGGATAGGCAACGTCCCCCCCTTTAGTCACATTGGCTCATTTGGGTGTTGACTTCGACTTAATTTATATGAAGTTTTTAGGATCTGGTGACTTCCTTAATGTCTTTTACGAGTTTTCTTTTATGTGTTTGCCCCAGTCGGTTACAGGGTTGTCCATCCTTACACTGATAACGTTCCATGATTCTTGCTTAATACTGAGTAATTGACGAAATCCTGTATTTTTCCCTAATTCCTTATAATATGGTCATTAATTAAGTCAATAAATCAGATTGAAAGAATCAAAATACTTTCGCTCAATATTCAATACTATTATTAACAAAATACCACATGAAAGCTAATTTCCCAAATGTTATAAAAAATGTAAAATTGTTTCATTTCATCACAAAACATCATTATGAAGGGAAGAGAAAGGTATGGAAAATATTAGAGTAGAAAAGTATGAGATTCCTGCAACTCTTTTTTTAACACCTCAGGCGGAGTACACAGTATATTTCCTCCTTCCCCTCCATTGTTATGTTTTTCACTTTTAATCACCGAAAAATTCAGGTGCGGTTTTAGGGAAGCAAAGAGTTGTTCCCGGTAGGCCTAGGGGGCAAAAAGGGTGGAAGACCCCATTTTTCACACAGGGTTGTCCCATTCTTACAAGGTAGGTTATCATCATTCTCATTTAAAAATTAGAATTTCTCAGAATCTTGTATTTTTCCTCCTTTCCTTTTAAAATGGTCATTAATGATACAATAAAATTATGTCGTCAAAGTCAAAACAGTTTCCATCATTCTGCAATGTTAGAATTAACAGGATATCAATAGAAATATATATTCCAAATAAGGATGATTAAATAATTAAAATACTTTCTTCCTATCGTGACACTTCATCATAAACGGAAGTGAAAGGCGTTGGAAATATTAGAAGAGAATGGTAAGAGATTCCCGCAACTCCCCGGTGAAGAGCAATAACTTTGGAATGGGACATGTTTAAAAGTTGAAATTAGAAAAATCGCATTAATACATGGAAAGTATTCCAGTCTTTGCGAACTTGCGATAGGTCCAGAGGGTGGGACAGAGTCAATCTCACACAGAAACGAAAAAAGGAGGAACTGGCAGAGGGAGAAACGCTACGAGGTCATTATGGCTTTTTCCTTTTCAAGTCAGCATGAGTTGACATTTGCGGGGAATCGGAAGAAAAACATTTTCTCCATTACCATTTTCGCCAGACTAATGATGTACGAACCAGACAATGAGTCAATAAGTATTGCCACTTCCGACGGCATCTATTAACACCAATTGGGGTTGTGCAAAGGCGTTCGTTTCTGCTTCGAGGTTCACCCTAGAGATCGTCATCCCATCGATCGTCATCGATACGTTGTTGCAGGAACCATGCTCGTTCTTGAGGGGATCGAGACTTTCACATGCGCCAATGCTGACAAAAGTATCATTGCATGATGTCTCTCATCCGCAGAGTGCACCCTGGTGACGTACATATTAAAATGTAGTTTATTAAATATTAAAATGTAGGCGAGGGAGAGCATTACCTATGAAAAGAGAGATTGGGAAAGTGGGAATTAAAAAACGGCTGCGATTAGGAAGGAATTCACGTCAAGTTAACGCAGAACGAAGAAATTAGGATCTGCCAGTGTGAGACTCGTTACGAAGTGATGTGTCTTTGGTTTTTCCAATATGCATATTTGGACAGGTATGGGGGAAATGGAAAGAAAACATTGATCCCCATTACCTTGTCCATTTGTCTCATGATGTTCATGCCATACAAGGTTTTTGACACCACCCATCGTGAGATCCATACAACCGAGAAAAGATTGTACCAAAGCTAAAAAGATGATGAGCTCATCAAGTCTTTTTCAAGGACACGTTCACCTCGTGTACTCTCAAATGAAACTCCAGAGTTGCCATTTTTACATTTTCCTTTATTCCCATGTCAACAAAAAGGAAAAGCTGTTACGGAACGCTCCTCCTCCTCCATCTTCAACTGTCACCTCCCAATCTTCACCGTAACTGTAAACAAACGGTATGATTATTATTCCTATTGTAAGAGGGAATGATGGAATGGATTCGTTGTGAACCTACTAATTAGCTTCTATTGCCTCAAGTTTTCACAGCGGAAAAAAGCATTTCCTGCTTCACCTACCCACGTGAAAATTTTGCAGGGGGTATTGGCTAACCGTGCGGCAACCACCTCACTTCCCAGGCCAATCGTACCCCCCGAGGGGTGCAGAAATGAGGCATCCTCTCTTTCAGGTTTTTCCACTTCCACCACATCCCCTATGCAATCTTTAACCCATTGTGAAAATGTATTTCGATCTGATGGATTTTGGAATTTTAAAATGTAGGTGAAGAGAAGCATGATCTGTGGAAATAAAGTCAAAGGGATGGAATTCGTTATGAGCTTACTGTGATGTAAGAAGGGGCCAACATGTTTACTGCTAGATCAAAAATTCTCAATTTAGGTTCTTTTATCTTTGTCCTGTCGCGGATTGAAGTGGTAAGAGAGGTCCGAACCAGACAAAAGTTCTGCAAAAATGGAAGTCTAGTATCCTTCAAACAAAGTACTTAAATTATTAGAGAATAAGACAATTTAAGTACCTATTTAAAAAATGATTTATGCACTGTACTTATTAATGAATCCAACACAAGAATTCTATCAGTCTTAGGATACGTCTAGGATTTCTTTTTGCGGATAACTCTAAACACTATCACAAAAAAATTGGATGTGAGAAGGATCCGACGAGGCAAACTCAAACTCGGAGTTTAAATGAATATCCTTCATCTTAATCTTTTCTTTCTCTTTCTTGGATACACTTCCTCTCAAAACCAAGTAAGCAGGGCTAACCTGACTAATTGTGGCTGTCCTGGAGATATGGCTCCGGATCTGGTGAGGCGACAGTTGTGTCTTTAAAATGGCGACTGACTCCGGCAATCAAGTTGCCCGCCGATATCCACGGTGCCTCAGGGAGGAGCCAGGATAGCTTCCTCAAAATCCGGGATTCGGAATGGATGAGGGACTCGAGGATGACTTGTGGGCCCATTGGATAATTTGGAAGTCGGCCCTGATTGATCTGTTTCTGGTTTTCAGGAGCTTTTGACTTCCATAATCTCTTTTTATAATGAGTTTGGTTTCCTGTGTTTACCTCAGTCGGATTCCAGGGTTGTCCCATCCTTACAATGGCAGGTTAACATCATTCTCACTTAATAATAAGTTCTTCTCTGAATCATGCATTTTTCCTCGTTTCCTTCTAAAATGGTCATTAATGATATCATAAAATTATGTCATCAAAGGCAAAACAGTTACCACCATCCTACAATGTTAGAATTAACAGGGTATCAATAGAAATATATATTTAAAATTAGGATGATGAAATAAAATACTTTCTTCCTATCGTGGGACTTCATCATAAAAGGGAGAGAATGGCGTAGGAAATATTATAAGAGAATGGTAAGAGATTCCTGCGACTCCGTTTCTCGCTCAAGGAAGATTACATAGGAAAAATTCATTCTTCCCCCTCTTCGATTAGCGTATCACTACGCTAGTCGTGTGTGTTTTAGGAAACGGATTGTGAAAGTTCGTCTGAAGGACAAAGAGGCAGAAAGGTAGGGCGACCCCCGATCTTCACATTACCTAATTACCTTCTATTGCCCTATTGCCCCGTCCCGCCTGCACCTGCCCATGTGAAAATTTCTCGGGGGACATTGGCTAGCCATGCGGCCACCATCTCTCTCCTGAGTTCGATTGTGCGCCTTCAGAGCGGCGCAGAAAGGAGGCCATCCTCTCTGGGAGGTTTTTCAACTTCCACCACACCCTTATGCAATCTTTAACCCATTGCGCAAAAGTATTGCGATATGCTGTAGTTTCACATATTAAAATGTAGGGGAGGAAGAGCATGATCTATGAAAATAAAAAGTCAAAGTTAAAAAGAAAAAACTCTAAAAAAGTAATGGGAGATATTGGAATCTCTGTGAACCAACTGACCCTGTAGGAGTAGACAGATGATGGATCCGAGTCGAGTTCATGCAGGACGAAGAAATGAGGAACTGACAGTGAAAGTCGCTAACGAGAGACGGTTTATATTCGGTATTGTTTTTTCTTTCAAATCAGCATATATATTGACTGGAACGGAGGAAATCTTCTCGGTATCGAAGTCGATAATATTCTACGAGCCCAATTCTCGCGTACTCGATGAATCGATTACTATTAATTAAATGGGCTGCGCATGACGGGTCCGTGGCCGTCAAGGGCCGTGTGACGTAACAAGTGATCGATGCTATTTGATCCCCTGCCCCGTCCCAGATTCGAGTGTCAAGGCAGGTTCGTCCAGACGGAAATTCCGGAAAAATGACAATCCTCGTGATCCGTCCAAGAAAGTACTTAATTTTATTTAAAATAAAGACAATAATGAATTATTCAAAGAAACAGTTATCCACCGTGCTTGTTAAAGAATTTAACAACAAGAAATCTACGAAAGTTTTCCTTTGGCACTTCAAATAAAACAGAGTTTCTTTCGTAGGATAACAGTAATCAATGTGAAAATTAATGTTGGATGGGAGGAGGATCCGACTGGGGAAAATTCTCATCTTGAATGAATGTTATTTCCCTTACTGTTCTCTCTCTTTTACTCGGGCCACACTCCTCACGTAATCAAGGAGCATAGCTAACCTCAGAGGTGGTAGATTGTCCTAGATCAGCTCCTGTAAGGTCGCGGTGCTGCCTTCCGAATGGCGACTGGCTCCGGAGTCAGAGTTTCTTGGTGATATCCTTGGTGCCTCTGGGAGGATCCAGGGTACCCTGCTCAAAATCCGGGATCCGGATCAGATGTACAACTTGGCCCCCTTTTGTCTCATTGGCTAATTTTGAGCGTTGGCATCGAAGTAATATATTTGAAGTCGTCAGGATCTTGCGACTTTCTCATTGTCTTTTATGGGTTTCGCTCTATGTTCTTGCCCCTATCGGTTACATGGTTGTCCTATCCTCCTGATGATAACTTACCATCATTCTTACTTAAAAATTAGTTATTGATAATATTATGTATTTTCGCTTGATTCCTTATGGGATGGTCAATAATTACATCATATAATTAAAGAGTAAAGCTCAAAACGATTTTCCTTAACATGCAATGTCATGATTAACAATACAACACAAGATAGATAATTCCATATGGGTTATGAAATAATTAATATCATTCCACTTCATCTCGACACACCGTGATGAAGGGAAGAGAAAGGTATGGAAAATGTTAAGAGTAGAAGAGGAGGAGATTCCTGCAACTCTTTCTCGCACTTCAGTAGGAATACATAATATCAATTCTTCCTTCCCCTCTTTTCGATAATGGTCTTCCGTTCTAATCACCGTAAAAGTCTACCAGCCAGGTGCGTTTCTAGGGAAGCAGAGAGTTCTTCCCTTAAGGACACGGAGGCGAAAAGGGTGGAAGACCCCATTCTTCACGGCCGTGACGGTGAAACGGGGAGCTTGACAATGAAAGAGCGAGTAAGGCCGACATGATAGAGATCTCGTCGATGGAAGAGGGGGAGGTCAAGCGACTGGACGTGTGGTTTGGTCGTACCCTAATGAATTCCCCATACTCTCATGAATTCCTGTTCGATGAATCGCTTCCTACGGGTATGTTGATAAAATGCTACAAGCGGATTCGTATCGATGGCGTGCTTGATGATTCCATGAAAATCGATAATCATGGGTAATGATTGCGAGTACTCGTATTAAACGATGGGAAATTGAAATGAATTAATCGATGGAAGATTGCGCCACCAGCGCCTCCAGTTTGCGTCTCCAGCGCCTCCCGTCGAAACGATATTTTTTATGCTACTGAGCGCGTCGGAGAGCGCATTCGGCAAGTATTGCGGGATGGACAAAATCCGCCTCGACTTGTTGGAGGAACAGAATTCGCAGGAAGGCATGAGTCGTTCCAGCAATTCACGCTATGAAATCGCTGGAAAGGCCTTCCACGGCTTGGAGAACGGCGTCGGTGAGTCCTGTACACATTTATATCAGAATCTAATCGCGAGTTTCCGCATAGCGCTGGAACTCGGGAGCTCTGGTCCTCGCCTCATGCTGTGACGTGGGCACAACAGCATAACCCATAGCTGTCTGATCTTGGAAGTTACTTGCGGTTTTTATGCGCACGGAACATTAAAAGTTCGTGGAACAAGATCAGACAGTCCGCAATTGAAGTGTGTGGAAACATGGAGATGCGAAAATGAGGGACTGAGAAACGTTGCCCCCCGCAAAGAAGCCGTCAGCGACTTTAGGTCAGCTCGAGGACCTTCGAGATACGTAGAGCGCGATTCCGAGCTTCCTGCCCATAGAGTGAGGAACTGTTTCATTGTATATTAGGTCGAAGTGGATGCAGTTCGTGGCGATGCACATTTGCTGAACTTATTCATTATTAAGAACGCAAAAAAAATAAACAGGTATCTGCAGGCGATAATGTTTATTTTCCAAAGCAATTTGAAAATATCGCTCAAGATGCCTTACCGGAAATGAGATGAAAACTGGAGTTGCATTGCTTTCAGGGGAGTACGATCTGTTGCAGAGGAACAGCTCACACATCGCTAGGTGTTGCTGCCAGGGGAGACGGGAGAGTGAACAGGCGCGTGACCAGGCGATGTCGGTGGTTAGCAGTTGCCGGGACAACGTGGGGTCGTAATGGCTGTGTCAGGTCCCGACGCTGAGGATTTCATCGAGTGTGGTGGCGTGGACTGGGGCTGGTGGAAATCCCGGCCAGGAGTGTGAAAACGATTGATTTTGGTAGGGACAACCGGTAGTTACTCACCCGAGCGTGGCAGGGGGAGCACCCCCCCCCCCTAGCGAGGCCGTTCATCCTTTGGACGAAGGAAATAAAAAATTTTTCATACGAGCATGATTCTATTTTATTTTGATGACCGTCTCAAAACCTTTGGGAGAAAAATTTTTTTTCTTTTAGAGAAGTCTTGTTTAATATTTGAGAACAAGGTTTCCCACCTCACGAGGTAGGAGATATCCTCATAGGCCTTATGGTGGGCATGCATTGACTTTTTGCTGAATTTCACGTGGTGATGGAAAACGAGCTGGAAAATGCCTGATCGGTTGCAGTGCTTTCTATGCGTAGTATCACAGGTGGTACTCTTGAAATAGCAGGGAAATATAGGAAAAATTATGGATATATACTGTAGCTATGCCAAACTTTCTTGTCTTGCAATATAACTTGCGGACCCTGACTGCAAATGTAAAAATTCTGTCGTGAAAAGACCGTTTTCATGTTTCGATATCTGGTTATTGTACTTTCAACCCTCCGATTTCCGAATTCTGCGCTGGTGCGAGCAATTCAATTAGTTAGTTTCTGTTCTTTGTCCTCCATAGTATAGGTCTGCATTCGCTTTAAATGGCAAGGTCATGCGTGGAATTAGAACGCTATTGGGGGGACACTCGAAAGGAAACGCTGGCATCGCTCACCGCCGTGCCTCCCGCTCGCTTCCGTGAATCCAGGGATATTCGTCGTCCTTGATGAAATAGGAGGCGATACGTCGGTCCGTCGCCACTTGCTCTCACACAGGCTCCGCAAAGAAGTTCATCGTCTGTCCGCCGACACCGAGAGGGTGTGATGAAGATTGCAGTAGGAAACACTCTCGCTAGGGCAGGAGTATACAAATTGCCATGAAAATGTTCGAAAAATGGTTTACGATGAATACGGCCTGCGATGAATTGGGAGTTTTTGCTACCGGAGGTTTCACATATCAAGTTCACCAGGATGGTTAAACGGCAGCCTTGAAAAGGTGACCCTGGAATTTCCCACGGGAATTGCTTCATGTGGAGAAAGTAACTGATCGGTCTTCGGGTTCCTAATGAGGCTCTCTGAGACCAAAATTTTCATTCCCTCGCGTTGAAATTTTTTGGAGTACCCGGATTTCTTCTTTCTCCACAGTAGGAGAGGCATGGATCATCGGGTTCTACATTAATAATATTACACGAACTCAGGAAGAGATGAGGTCAAGCAGTATTCTGATACTTAGTAACGCCCGACTCCAAATTTTTCAATTTCATATTTATTGCATCTGCTATGTATTGGCTAGCGTGGCCTGTTGTAATAAGGGGCACGTTGATAGCTACTTGCAAACAAATTCACCCTCACATAATAAGAATAAAGGTGAAAAGGTCCATACCACCCTGGGATCGAACGAAATTGATATTTTTCCAATCCGATTCTGTAGGTCGCCAACGAAATTTGGGCAGCTCTCGTTCTAAAAGCCTTTGTGCTTCTTTGGCTATTTCATCTTCGAGTAAAACCCTCCCAGGTATCCTTTTTTAGTTGGCAAAATAACTTGAACCTGAATTTCATATCGCTGTAAATGAGATCCTGTTTTTTTTTCTCGCCTATCATTGAGAAGAGCTTTAAATTTGTCTATGGAGGCTCTCAATTCAATTGGTGCTGAGTGAGCTAAAAATCTTCAATGCAACTAATCTCATAGAAAAATATGAGAGGTCGGATTTGTGACCAGGGAACACGAGGACGGCGCAATCTCGCCTACGGAACCATTGGTATCCATCCATTACGCGTTCCGGTGCTACTTGGGAATCGTATCCCGTCAAAATGTCGAAAACACACATGTCGACTGTCCGATTGTCGATCACCTATTATGTCGAATCCTGAACGTCGAAGGAATGAAATGTTGAAAGTCAAAATGTCGAAAGAGAGAAAAGTCAAAATGGACTTTTATTTATTCTGTCAATGAAGTCATAAAAACTCGTCATGCCGAACATGGGAAAACTGCACTTGGTCGAGAAAGAAAAGCAAACTAATTAGCGGTTATAGATGTGATAACTACTGACATTCGGCATTCAAAACTGAACATTATTTGCCACTGCACGCAAGTAATCACGCACTTCGCGGTCGGAGTAAGAAGAAACAATTTTATGAATGCGTTTTTCCCTTGATTCTTCTTTTTTCTTCAGCTTTCGCGCGGGATACCCTGACAAGATTTTTTCCATCTCTCGCGCTTGAAAACATTCCTCTATCTGCTAGACTCCTAGAAATTCATATATCTTGGGATGGGCCTTGCCTACATTATTCAGAGACTAACCCTGTACTTTGAAATTTTCTCCAAATGCTTTGTGCAAAATGGAAGAAGAAAGTGTTGTGTTTCATATGAGGAAATACTTGGGATACTGCTGACAAAATTCCGCTCTCATAGTCGGTTGTGATGAACTGCAGCTTCGGAACAAAGTGGAATCTCTGAAATGCGTCACAAATGCCCTGCAACATGATAGAGTAACACTGCGCATCTTTTGCATTCAACAAGCCATACATAAGAGGGAAAATAGCGCCGTTCACTTCAGCGTGCAACGTGTACAATTGCATGACCGAATCATGTTACCTCAAGGTTCCTTTATAAGTTCGTCTTTCATGGGCACAACGGCACGGGCAGGGCAACTCCAGTTTTGGCAACTCCAATACACTTTCTCCTTTGTACACTTTTCACGCGTGAATAAGTACCCATGAACAACTAATAATCTGCCACCTTTCTGAGAATTCACGTATTCCATGGTGGTTTTGGTTACAGTCCCAATTCGACTGACACATTTGTGTGGAAGTGCGCTTGTTACTGATGTAATCAACTCCGCCAACGCTTACTGATGCAGACAGATGATAAGTTGACAAAGCAGTCTTCGCTGCCTCAAGAGAGCAGAGAGGAAAGAAGCAATCTCCTCAACTCGATTATATCAGGACCCAAGGAACGGAAAAGAATTACCGGATTTCAACATTTTGAGGATTCGACGTTTTTCCACATTTTGACGCTTTCGGTATTGTAACAATCAACATTATGCCCATTCGACATTGTGTCACATTCGACATTTTTGCTAGTCGACATAAAATCTGACGACATTGTGGCTTTCGACATTTTGTTATAGAACCCTTGGGAATATATCCATCGGTTTCTGGCTCAAACTTAAAAAGTGATTGCCGTTTCTTCAATCGTAAAAAAGAAAATTTCCTCGATCCTTGCGATTCTTTCATTTGCCTCGTTCATGACCTGAGCTTTTTATGAGAAAGATGTAAGCAAAGAGTAAGTCAGCAATCCCAATTCTCGAGAGGTTTTAACGAACGAAAATCGAAGGCAAAACAGAATAAATCCTCTTCATCACTGTCTCCCGTCACGTTCAGGAAGATAAATTTAGAAAAACATCAATGCCCTACGTTTCAAACTTCCTCCGAGCGAGAGAAAACTTGGAGTTGGGCACTTCCACAAATACGCGAACGAACCAATGCACCAGGAGAAACATCCATCTAATATATATAGACGATCGTGACTGACTGACTGACTGACGCTAATTCTAACCATGTTCTAGACATGATGAGAGGCTGAAACTTGGTACACACATAGCTGTTAGATTGCTGACTCCAGAAAAATTCCAACTTTGGGGGTAAGTGCCCTGGGGGCTCATTCCAGGGGGTCTCATTTTATAAGCCTAGGTCTAACCTTCAGACGGACGATTAGACCTAAGCCATTCTCAGGCTCCCCTTGCCTTCAACAAAACGGAAGGAACGTGAGTAGCTGATGGGTTGTCGATTCCAGAGAAAGTCTAACTTCGAATGCCCAACTTTGGGGGTCCATGCCCTGGGGGCACGTTTT